CGATGTATTTCAGCAAGTATTAAAACATTTTAGTTTTATTTTAGGCCTTCTTCAAAATACCTATGCCTACAGCAGATGATTTTTTTGCCGTAAAACCAAAATAGTTTCATCCATGCCAACATTCCGGTCGATTAGCGTGAGCCCTGACTGAACTCTGCAGAAACTTCACATCGATCTTCGCATCGCGATGTAAAACAAAATGTCGGAAAACTTTTCTTTGACGCATGCGCATTTGCATAAATGTCTACACACACACACACGCGATGTGAAACAAAATGTCGGAAAACTTTTCTTTGACGCATGCGCATTTGCATAAATGTCTACACACACACATACACACTACACACAATAAAAAACATAGGAAATAGCAAGAGTGATTACAATAGTTCCTATTGCATTACATGCATAGGAACTAAAAAGTTCAAACAATTTAGGGGGACCCGGGCCGGCTGGCGCCCCTTTGAATCTGCCACTATACACATATTGTAATAGTATAAAACGGCATTCTTTTAATAGTTCATTTTATATTATTATTCTTGGCTGTAAAAATCCAACACAACCTACATCTGTTCCTAGGATCCTTGTGTTAATGCGCTTCTGTACAACTACAATAGCTAGGCTTGGATTGTAGTTGGCGCCAAAGGATGCAAAGCATTCTGACAGTTGTTTCTGCTCATAATCGGCTACCATGCTCAGTTGGCCATCACCAACCCCATCACGGAAGATGATGATTTTCTCCGGGAGGGCATGATTCAACTGAAAGAAAGATTGGAAATTAATACTGTATGTAGATTGAAAAATTAATATACAAAATCTAAAGATCCTTCTCATATATTAGAACACCCCCTGCTTCTGCTTAACGTATGTCTTTATACATCCTTAAAAAAAAAAAAAAAAAAAACTGGCTTGTTACAAAGGTGGTAAGTTCTGTTTTACACGCTGTGTTTTTATGTGTGGGTAATTTCATATTTATCTTGGTATAGATTTTCTTTCAATCAACACTAAATATTAACAAACAAAATACAAATTGCCTCTCGTGTTTCAACAACTTTCTTGTAAACATGGATATTGTAGAAATTAATTATTCCTACCAAGAGCAGACCTTACCTCTGCATACTTCTTAATTGCTGCTAAGAAGCAAAGTCTTAATCCATCAATGAGCTCTTGATGTGGCATTTGGAAGCAGACCCTTGAATACCAACGCGTCAATAGGCTGAAAATATAACAAGAGAGCTTTAAAAAAGTTAGGCTTCTAATGAATAATACCATTGGTAAGCAGAGGTAGTGGTAGTTTTAAGGTGAGCATTCAATGAGTCGTAAGACCACTACTGTACAACCGTCAGCCAACTAATCCACCTCTGCTCAATGTGAGCACTAGAAGATGTCATGACACCATCTGCCGATTGTTGGTGGCATTCTGAACGGATCATCATTAAAAATGATCCGTTACACACACGTTTTGGCATTTCACTCTCCATAGAATCGGATCAGCCAACGAGAGTCGGGAGCAGTAAGTGCCCGGCTTTACATGCTTAAGCTACATTTACACGAGACACGATCAAAATGCGCTCAGTGTTGAAGAATATAAACGACGTGATGATATGTTGTCGTGTCATTATCGTGTCTAGTGTAAATGTAGCTTTATGCGATAACATGCATATAATGGAAATCTGGAGAACTAAATATTTACAGCTCATTTACAGCCCATTAAGTATTTAACAGCCAGAACTATTAAATATCATGTGGACCAAAAAATGAAGAGGTTGTACTCACTTGTTAGTACTGGCAACAAATGCACCGATAGACTTCTTGTTTCTTGGTGAGTCATGGTACACATCAATGCCAACCACCATTAGACGTTTCTACAAAACCAAAAGCAATTTTAAAGTTAATGAACAATCCAAGGAAATGACACAAGGATATCATTGAAAAATGTAAATATGCTAAGATACAGTCATTTAATACCCATTAATACACCATAGGAGGCTTTTCATTTACCAATGGTATGTCTAAACTCCACAGTTCCCCACCAAGTTTGCAGTTGATTTGCAGTGCAATCTTCTGGACAACACTACGTAGTTTGTTTGCTTGACCGATTGTCTTTGAGATGATGACTTGTGATGGAACGGCACTCTCATAACAGCAGAGTTTCTTCACTGCGTTGTACCGGTCATCACGTGATGTTGGAAAAATAATGACAACTAACTGCAGCTGTTTAAAATTGAAAAGAAAAAATAATAGATGAATGCTATATGGGGCTTGCCATGCCAAAACCATCAGTTACAAAAACAAGAAATTGTACTACAATATATTCGTATTCCCAACAGTATAAGCATTAAAATGATAGGTCAATTACTGAAATGACTTACTATTGCCAAAGTTATGAGTAAAAGGATTACTAAAGTATACAATACTGCCACATTCTTAAGCTAATTACTCAGTTTAACATTTAGCGACAGTACCCTGGTTTTGCCTCATGCATGGCTTAACAAAGGAAAATTGAAAGAAATTTCAATTTATGCACTTTTAACGATTAAGCACGCCAATTAACATCTCGATAAGATTTCATTGACAGATAAACCGACTAATCAGCGAGCGTCATTTAGTCACGTGATCAAAAACATTTTCTCAGACATTTTAATTTCCTTAAACAGCTGGTTTAAACGCGAAACATACGTGAGCCAAGTCCTAGATGTCTATGCTTTGTTATAGGTACCCAGATTTACACGAGCAGTGCGCATCAGTGACCTGGCCTTTGCCGATAACAAGGTTGACTGAATGCGGCCGGCTTTTCCCTCTTCCTTTGGGCGTAAAATACAGAGGCTTTTACAACAATTTCCCTGCCATGTTCCATGAAATAGATTAACACTATGAATATATGATTCATTTGCATACCGCCTACCCTGAATTCCCTTTCTTAGTCTAGCCCCCATTGTCTAAGGTTTTCATGACTTTGTGGGCTTCGTGTCCTTGTTGACAAGTCAATTAAATAGTACAATCAAAAGGAAATAATTGCTTATGTGCCTGTTTAAATAAATAACTGTCCATTTTTACTGTGAAATACCTATACTTGGACAGATTTTCACTCGCATTCAAACAAAAGCACAGTGAAATTCCACCAGCTTTACAAGGATTCTCTGCAGCGCATTCAACATATATTTTGATAGAGCATACCTTACCAAAAGGTTACCTATTCATGTTATAAAGTGTGTCTAAACAATTCTATTAACTAGAAATTGCAAATTGCAAGAAGTGCTGCGAAGTACAACTGCATATAAATGTTCTTCGAACAAAATTATTTATGCGAGTCAAGTGAAAATAATGAATAATAAAACTATAACAAATAATATGAGACACGACCCATTGTCTATTTTAGAACACTTCTCATTGGTGTCTCTTATACACATCTAGATGTGTATAAGAGACAGATATAAACCAGCTACCAATGATATTTGAATAAGCTGGTCCAGTCCATTGATTTCAAACATTTTTTATTTTTTTTATTTGGTAAAGCTGTATACCTACTACAGTAATTTACCTTTCCATAGAACAGCAGCTTAGCTCAGCCGGCTAATCTGGTGGTAGCCACTGTGTGTGCGCTGAACCGTGGAGATCTCTAGGTCCCCTGTTCAATTCCTATCGCTGCCTCTCCTTGTGTTTAGCTAGAGGGCTGAAATACAAGTTTCATTAGCGCACCGGCTTTCAGATGAGACGTTTAAGCTGTTGGTCCCGTGTGCATTATGGCCCATGTGCACGTTAAAGAACGCAGTACACTCTTCGGAAAAGAGAAGGACCTAATGAATTATTGTGATGTTAAATAGACAATCTTAGCTATCAAAGAGCAACGTTGTTTTTCATTGGGACCTTCGTCTTCAAGGCTAGGCCTATACCATCCTAGCTAGTCTAGGCCTAGAGTAGGATAAGGCTAGCGCGACATGCGGACGTTGGTACGAGTAGGTTAGTCTACAAACGTCGCCTAAAGTAATTGATTTTACCCGGCAGAACGAAAGAAGGAAACTCCGCTTTTCAGTCGTCTTAGGCACTCGTTTTTTGACAAACAATGACCTTTCAGAGGTCAAATTTGTCAAGAATATGAATTGGCTGCTTCGCAGCAATTAATATTACCCCACAAAAATAACACCTACATTACTTGAAATATTTATATAAGCATAAGTCCAAAGAAAAACAAGTCCCTTGCAACAAAATTGATTGTGTATTTACTGCAAACATGCACACCAAATTATTTTTGTAAACGTCTTAAAATATATGCATGCTCACCACTGGGTAATAAAAAAATAATGAATAAAACAATTTATTCCCAGCAACTTACCCTGGGGTTAATGGCATCTCTGATGACCCTAAGGTACGACTCTGTCCTATCATCAGGTATCTCGAGTCTTACAGGGTCAGACATGTTGATGCCCATTTGACGCGTCACTTGAAACATCATCTGGATGAAGTCAGTAGTCCTCTGTGCATCACGGCGGCTAAATACAACCACCCAATCAGTAAGGTCCACCTGAAAATTAACATAATTTATACATTTACTATGGTAATCATACAATAACAGTTAATTATCATAATATATGTGGCAAAGACAAGCCAAACCAGTCACTCGTCGCAAACATCGACTTTTAGATATTAATACAAGGTTAAACAGTAAAATGAGAGCTATAAAATGGTAAAATAATCATTTAAATCCGACATTTCGTTATGAAGTTACAGAAGCTTAAACATACAGCTGTTTAAAGAACAATACTTGAGAAATCAGCCTTTAAAGTTTATGATTTCGGGATTTCTCATGCAGAAACGAACACCAAATTGTTGTTTTAACATTGAAAATTGGTAAAAAAAAAAACAGCATAACATGACATATAAGTATATAGAGGTAGCCAAAGACAAGCCAAACCAGTCACTGGTCGCAAAAATTGATTTTCAGTTATTAATACATAGTTAACTGAAATAAGAGCTATAAAATGGTAAAAGAGTCATTTAAATCCAACATATAAACATACGACTGCTTAAAAACCATATTTGAGATATTGGCCTTCAAAGTTTATGATTTTGGGCATTTCTCAGGCAGAAACCATCACCAAATTGTTAAAAATTGTTGTTTCAACATTAAAAAATGGGAAAATTACAGCATAGCATGATATATAGATATGTAAAGGTTAGTTTAGTGTAATTTTTTAAATTTTGATATTCCAGCATGATTTGGCCATTATCTCTGAAACAGGATTTGCAAAGAGTGACTGGTCTGGCTTGTCTCTGCCATATATACTTTCTTAATATTGACAATATGAATTAAATAATCTAAAACAACCATTATTATCTTTTACATAGAGCATAGGATATATGAGTATTTTTGGTGTAAATCACACCATAAATAATTCCCAAAGTCTGAAGACTTGTTTCAAGTGGGGTTCTTTTGGTGATGAAAAAGTGTCTTCTGTTGTGCGTGTGCAAATGGCCCATGTTGTACACAGAACAAATGGCATAGAATTCTTATTTGAAAAATGGTGCCCTTTTTTAAACTTGAATTTCAGTCCATTAGCTAAAACACAAGGAAAGCATCAGATGGAATAGAACTGGGGACCAAACAAGATTTTCTAAAGTCAAAGACAAAACAAAAATATAACTGCATACAAAAATTGATATTAAAAAAAGATGTAATATAAAATTAGGTTGATCCTGAATAACTTACTGCAGATATAACTTTTTCTCTGCAGACTTCTCTTCCCCAGTCAGGTATTGGAGGAATGAAGGCCTTGCCACGCAGGTGAATCTTTTCTTTAGGGAGAATACGTCCTTCCAACTATTCACAACAATCAAAGACAAAACATTTGAGAAAGGCTATTGACAAGTACTTTTGATTTCTTTTTGACGGTGCTGGACTTTAAATTCCAGGTTGATGAGTTCAATCTGTGTGTATTCTAGAGATTAATATGTACAGTAGAAACCCTCAACTACGAACCCCGATTTAACGAAATCCCGATTTTACGAACATAAAATCAAGGTGACGACGTTATAAAAAGTGAAGTGAAAAATTTAAAAAAAATAAAAAATTTGCTTGAATTGTAACTGTTATTAGCATGCATACAACACAACATACCATACATACTATGTAATTCTCAAGTGAAGGAGGCCCTCTAATGGGCCTCTTCAAATTCAGTGTTTAATAATTTTACTTCTCTTTTAATCATCGTTTTCAGCTTTAAAAGTTAACATAGTGCTTGATTGTTTTATTGAATGATCAATATATATAATAAACAAGTATCTATGGAAGTTGTGTTGGAGTAAAATCCACAATCTAGGTATTTAAGAAGGTAAGAACGTCCGATTAAAAACAAATTTATGTGGGGCCTAGAGTGGGATCAGAAGGCTTAGAAACTGCTCACTGTAGGCCTAGGTCCCCTCAGACTTAGCTGCGTAGGCCTGTGGGCCCAGTGTAAGTAGTACCAGTGCAAATATATCGGAATTTGGGTCAACCCCGATTTTACAAATACCTGCAATTACGAACGGCTCTGGGCCTGTGCCGTACGTAATTGAGGGGTTCTCCTGTATATCAATTTACTATATTTTTCTATGAAAAATAAAAAGAAATTGAAAAAAAATGTACCCTAATTGGAGTTTTATCAAGACGAATGTTCCATTTCTGCAACTCTTCAAGAATTTCTGGATTCCCATAAAGTCTCTCAACAAATTTTGTCAGACCAAAATGTCTCTGGTTAGGGGTGATCCTGGTGTGTGTAGCAAGATCCTAAACAAATGAAAGGTTTGTACATTAAAAAAGTAGCAATACCAAATGTTATGTGAATACAAATTGAACAAGCTCAAACAAATTAAATAATTGAAATTAAAAAACATTCATCGCCGAATGCCCACTAAACTAATGTAATTCCCAACTGTTGATACTGCAACTGGATGTGATAATGTATCCTTGTTTATAGACTCCTGTGCTAACCTTTAAAATGCACTTAAACACTATCACAAAAATACTTTTGTGATTAAATTAACAAGTAATCAAAATAAGTAATTTCATGGGAAAAGTATAAAAATCAGCAAAAAATGAATTAAAAAAGCTTTAGAATTTTGGAAATATTCAATACAATAATAATAATAATAAGATTTATAAAGCGCACAAATCCACAGCAGTAATGCTCAAGGCGCTAATACAATTTAATTTAATACAATGTAATAAATAATATTTTTTCAGGTATCATCACAGACTGACTCTACCATAAATGATAACATACCTTCATGACTCTGAAGTCTGCCCTCATTGCATCGGTCAAGCCTGTACGATATGACAATTCAGGTATGAGGCAAATCACCTCCTCTTGCTAATAATAAAAGCAGGAAACAAGTCAGGAAATGTACTATAGTAAAATGTTGTCGTGAAATGATGTAACATGTAGCTAATATAACCGCCTCTCAGTCGGCTAAGTAGTCATAGACCACGCCCATACGCAATTCAGCACAATGACGCTGCAAGTTATGGGTTATTCTCCTCCCTTTATATAATAAAAAAAATATACATTGTTTATGCTATGAATTATTTCCTATCATTTTGAAAGTAAATTGGATAATTCCTACCCCTTGATTTCTGTTTTTGTCCTTTTTCTTGGGTCTGCTTATTAGCAGTGGTTGGTTTAAGTCCTTTATTTCCTTGTTATAGGAACGTCTGAAACAAATCAAATGCACAATTTATTATTATAACCTAACTCTTCACCTTCCAAAAACCCTCCAACACAACCCAAGACAAGTTATCATTCATTTGCTGGGAACATTGGCATGATTAATGAACTTGGCAAAATACCTTTTAAATATGATCTAATCAATTCAATGATGGGTCAGAAATAGAGGAATCCCTACTTAGAAATAGGGCCTCATGGCACAAGGCATGCAAAAATCAATTACTGACCTCACAGATGGTGGTGGATGGTCCAATGCAATTGCGCAGGGTAAAATAACAACTGATGGTAAGCATGTACCTTCATAGATGTTCTAATGACAAAGACGGAAGGGCACATCACATAACCACTGCCTCTTTACATATTTTGAAAAGACGAGCATACATTGTACGATGCTGCAATTTGATGCAGATGATATGCCCTCTGAAGATTCTTTTACAGAGTGGTGTGAAAGAATACATCTTACTCACTATATGTTCATATTTTGGAGCTTAGTACTGGACTTGGAGCTCATGGTTCAGGCTTTCATGAGGGCTCTGCTTAATCTGATTTTGACTTGTACATGGAGAGCTTAGCTATACTGGTACCTTGGTTCTTCACATTGGTTCAGGTTCACTATCCATGATGGTTGCCAGCGCACATATGAGACTTGTTCATATGCCTCAAAATATATGAACATGCATTTAATGCAGGGTGATTTCAATTCAAATAAAACAAGAAATACTTTCTCCGCGATTGGATCAATGTCATGAGCTAATGAATGCGCATGTAAAAGAAAACTGTGCACTGCCAGATGCATGTCAGTAAAGAGAAGGCAGTCTTGGATTGTTCAGACATGAGAACCAACAATATCCATCATCCGTATATGCAGCAGCAAAAATGAGGCCAATCTATTGAATGCTCCATCCATTTAAATGGATGAAAGTCTTGATGGTACAGCAGTGGTGCATATATTATCAGTGGGGGAAATCAAAGACATTTAAACAATAATATGCTTAGCAAATATTCCTGTCACATGTATCACTGCAACTTAATCCTGTATGGGACATTTAAATAAAGGACAGTCTAAAACTTGCAGCTTCCTGGAAACTGAAAAAAAGTTTGACAAGAAAGATGACAACAAATATGAACTCTTCCCTTTCTTAGCATGTTAAATTGTTTCTCAGGAGACAGAAGCAAAGATCACTATATCTACTTTAGGCGACAGTGTTGTCTTTTCAAAATTGGAACCAAATACAGAAAGACTACAACCATGCCTACATGAGGAGGCCGACACTAGAATAGTTGTTCATGTCTTGGATGAGTTGAAATGTGGCAAAACAAAAATGATGTCTAGAACTGTGGACACATAATTCTGTAGCTAAATTGCATGATCTAATCAACCTGGAAGAATTGTGGATTGCCTTTGGAACTGGTAAAAATTTTAGATATCTTCAAATTCATGAGATGTCTTGTGCATTGTATCCTCAGAGGTGGCAAAGGATTTGCCATTTCTTCATGCTTTCACAGGGTCATATCCTCCAGACTCAGAAAACTCTTCCATACTTTTACCACTATCTCCAGCAAATATTTCTGATATCATCATCCAGTACCTAGAACAATTACTAATTTCTTTAGTATGAAGAAAGCAAGGCTAGAGTTCAGTATGAAGTATTAGTAGTTAAAATGATAGTTACCTGTAGTAGTCAACAAAAGATGTTTCTTGTCCATTGTGGAGGGTAAAGGTACACTTAGGATTCTTGTCCCACGCAATGTCATCAATACGGTACGTCTTATTGTTGTAGCGTGTTAACACAACCGAACCAATTAGCTCGCGTGTACACACTTCACGAAAATTCCTCTGACTATGTTGAATGATGGTGGTCCTATAACAAAATGATAAGTGTTGAGTGCAGAATTTTTTTTTACAATTTGTACTGTATATCTTTATGTGCTATATTTACTTATAACATATGTTTAAAATATAGACTTTTGTAAAATATGCTGAAATTATCTAACTGCCAACCATTAAGGCCACTGCAGGTAAGAAACCTGAATTAAATCTCTACAGATACCATTAGTTTATATGCTGTCTTTATTGACAAAACATCACTGCTTAATTTTTTGTTTAAACTCACATCGATTCCAACACTGTTTCATAGCATAATACTTTGTGCGACATATCTGTCTGTAACATGAGGCCTCCATCATACTCATTGATAGCTGTTATGTATCCAGGCCAGATCTGCAACTTATGCTGTGGAACTTCCACACTCCGGGATGGGTCAAAATAATGACGGCCCACTTGCTTCAGCTTTAATTTGTCCATTACCCTGAAAGTTGAAAGATATACAACTTATAAACTATGACATATTATTGTAAAACTAAAAATACAAGGGACACATATTGTAAAACTGAAAATACAAGGCATATGTACTGTAAAAAAAAATGTTTCCTGTCAACTGGGTGGCCAAAAACATATCCAGTAGGGAAGGACTGGATTTGTTCATGTTTTCATAATTGCCAATGGAACACAAGTCAATCACTTTTAAAAAAATCAGTGTCCCACAAACCCACCCCCTGGGTTCTGCACCACCAGGGTCCCGTACCACTCAATTTTTATGTTGCTTCTCTTATTTGACACTAGGTCTTATACTATAAGTAAGTTGCTTTAGAAACTAACTATGTAGTGAGAAGCATTCCCACACACAAGTTCCCACAGTACACATGGTGAGAAAAGACAAGGTCAGTCACAAACAAAATTATTTAATCAAGCTCAAATTTACCAAGAATGATCTGACTGGGTTAATGTTCTATTGAACCTAGTTTCTATTCCTTTTTTTCTCTTTTTTTTTGCAAATTGTAGAGCAGTTTAAGAACTTATATAATAACACATGGCATGTTATTACAGTAGCTTTTTCAACATTCAAGTGATATCTAGAAAAGTTCTGCAAAATAACATGTGAAGTATTACATGATTACACAAGTTACATATTAAAGTAAATAAATAAATTATTTTAATCAGTGTTCTCCCCAGGGCAATAAGCTGTAACAGCCCTGTTACAGCTTCATTCAGAAACAAGTTTACGTTACAGCTTAAATTTACCGATACACCTTGTATGACTCGTAAATGTTCAGTTTATCAATTATTTATACACAAGCTCAAGCTCTACATATATAATTTCAAAATACAAGGGAAATGCACACTATCTTTCCGTAAATTTGACATTAACAAAGGATAAACTGTAAGCCAGTAGCCAAATAGTGTGTTATCTGTCAAGTTATTTTTTTTGGTACAGTAGCCTATAACTTAAAGGACAGAAAATAAACTACAACAAAATAAACATACACAACCAACTGAATGGAAAATTTCATTTTTTTAAGCCAATACACTGTAATTAATTCTACTGAAAAATTTATATTACAAAAATCAACACATTTATTTTTTCTAAATACAAGTCACAGTGTCAAGTGCATAATACTTTGCTATGTAATTACCATTTTATTAATTATTATTACAATTTTAAAAATAAAATACCTTAAAAAAAATTAAAAGTAATTTCCTCTGGGGATGGTATAAGGCCCTATACATTTTTCTATTAGTTTTTCACCCTATGTAGGCAGGAAAAGTGATGATATATTTTATTTTGCTAAAGCTAAATATCACCTTTGTGTTGTTTGCTGGTGCATTGATATTCAAGGTAAAACATGATTGAGATAGTACATACAATATAGTAACTATTCAATTTTTTTTTTAAATGGAAAAAATAATTAAAAAAAAAAAAAATAAAAAAATAAAATAAAAATAAATAAATAACTTTTTTTCCCAGCACCACAGAATACATATATTATGTGCTGAACGAGGTGTTGCCATGGGTTTTCCCATTACAACTTAAAAAAATCCTGGGGAGAACACTGTTAATATTTTATTCAAACAAATGTAGAACTTGTTTAAATATAGCAGTAAAAGCATACTGCCATGGAAATCTAATAAACTTAAAATAAAATAGCATGAATAGAACAATGACTTAGAAATCAGGGTGCAAGTTACAGTATGGATTGGAACCCTATGAAGTACACCCAAAAAATGGGTTCTGCTTTAAATTTATTCTAGTGAAATATATTTTTCAATCTTCCTATATATCTAGTTAAAAGAATCTGCATACCTTCTGAAAATGACGTTATAAACACTAATACAAGCCTCAGGGGGAAGTTCTTTGACTAGTTTTAAGTTTACCATCACATCCACTTTGTCAGTTGGTCTAATTGACTTGAACACCTATTAAACAAATCAACATAAACCATTAGATCAGGTATATGGCTTAATTAATTTGGTTGCTTTACAAACTGAGCTGATGCCAAGTTGATATGCTCTAAAAAGGTAGTTTATTTTTGGTCCCGAGATAATATCATGAAAAAATATTGGCATGGCGCTTTCCATGTTACCTATTTCGGTAGGCCAATCATAGGTCCTAGGTCATTGTAAATAAACGTTTATAAAGATATGCTTGTGTTTTTATTGCATTATTTATTAATTTTCACTCTGTATACATTGTATTTAAAATCCTGATTCTCAAAGTGTTTGATTACACACAGAGTAATATACATCGATAAAGCGACACAGCGCTTATTCAAGAGCGGCGCTTAACGAAAGAAATCATGTTTGATGCGGCGTTTCTTCAAGCATTTACAGTACTTACAAAAACCATTGCGGCTTGCACAGTGGCAGAGATTCCTAGGTTATAAAATCAGCTGGTTGCAAATATTTCAATACTAAGTGTGTAGAATAAACAATTCTGGAATGTGTAGTAAGACGAAATTTCAACTGTTAAAAGAAGAAGAGTGACAGCCTACCTGAGATTGCACTTTGATTGGCAGGTACAAAGTGGCACCATCAAATGCCCGCACACTACCAATCACATCACTGTGCTGGTACAACAGGTGGGCACGCATATTTCGGCTATCAATCTGTGGTTCGTATGATACCGCATATTGATAGACAGCATCAGTTTCACAACGGAGATGAATGTAGTTTGCCGATAGCTCCACTCTGAGAAAAATAAAACAGGAGAAATTAATTTTAATGCAAATCATAATATGGAGGTTGATACAATCTTCCAATTATCAATGTCTGTCATTTATTCGTTAAAGATCTCCTTCCTAAAACCTCATGTATACACTCTTATGTTATCCAGCAATTTGAGAATATATTTGCTTATAGAAAAATATGAAAAAATAAAATATGACAAAATTGTCCAAGAAGAAAACACAGGATAGGTAAAGGAATGTTTTAAAATTCAAAATATAATTAATGAAGTTGCTCTAGAAAGTAAGGTTCTATACAGGCCAAATAAAAAATTACTAACAGTTTTACAAATGAACACATTGTCTCAGTCCACAAAAGCAGTAGTTTTTTCCCCCTGAACAGTATTTACATGATTGATACACAAAAGGATATTTTTAGACACCTCATCTCTATTTTTGGGCCAGGCTACAGAGTGGTGTGGGAGATTGATTCAAAATACATACAAATACACAGAAAAAAAGAGCAATCGTTAACAATCCGACGGGATAACCAAAAAGCGAAACAAATCATTGTTGAGTGGTTCTCCAAGGTTAAAAACAATACATGTAGTTATAAATTGTTTTATCATGCAGGGATGTCACCACACTGGTAGGCGGTGGACGGGCCCGTCCAGCACTCAACATTTCCAACCAGGATTTACAGGCTCCCGACCACCACTATTATTTCAACAGTTTACAAATTGTAACAAAATAATTAGTTCACCTAAACACAATAGACAAGCTAAATTGATAAAGACAAGAAGAAAGAATGCAATAAATGTTTCCGTGGTTACGTTAATTGTAACAAAATACTGCACTGCCCTGCTATTCATCGCTAACTTAACTGCCTGGGCCCAGTTGAATCATAGCGAACATCGTGGGCCGGCATGACACGGTTGCTCTGTACACATTCAAAGGTTAAAGTTGAAATCGTGACCATTCAAGTGTTTTATTATGAGAGCATGGTCCGGGGCAGGAAGATTATTAAAAATTTACGAAACCTGATTTATGTTTTATTTCTTTACTTTGTTTTCATTTTGTATTTTAAGTTTTTCACTTTTAATTGTATTTGATATATAAATGTGTGTAAATGGACAAAAAAAAAATAAATGAGTGCACATGAATCAGTGACATACACATTCATCGTGGTAATCGTCAAACATGTGAAATCACAGCAAACAATGTGGCTGGGTACTCGGATCGACGCTTTGTCGCCGGGATTTGTTCATTATTATTTTTTAATCTAAAACAAAGCATGTCAACTATTGAATTTAATTAGGCCTACAGTAAGTCTCATCTTCATCTGTTTCGTTGCATTCCTCAAATTCTGGCCTAGGCCTACCTGGGCCTGGCCTAGGCCTACCTGGGCCTAGCCTAAATAAATTGCGTCAGCTAGCCTTGGGCCTAGGCCTGCTCGACTTACTTAGGCCTTTTGGTTTTTAAGAGCTTTCACGAATACAGCGACCCCCCTCCCCCGTGAAAACGCGAAATGATCGCCGACCGGCACTCCAAAAGGATGGTGACATCCCTGATCATGAATGTTTTTTATACTGTTTTCAATAATGTTTTTACAGTGATTTTTGATCATTTTTCATGGTGATTTTATATTGTATTTACTGTATGCTACCTGTTGTTGGTGTTTACACTGTTGGGAGTGAAGTTAAAGGGGAAAAAAACACTAAAAATATTCGTACACTACAGCATACATAAATTAAAACTAAATATCCAAATTCAGAATAATGTACAATGAAAGATTAAAAAACAACATAAATTAAGAATGAATAATATTAAAACTTGCTTTATTTAAAACCTAACATGTTTTGGACATTATCTCTGAAACACTATTTGCAAAGGAGCAACTGGTTTGGCTTGTCTTCTCAAATAAGTTACATAATCGTATTAAAATCTCACCTTGTGCCACATGTTCCAATTTTGTTTTCTTTATTTTCTATACTGATATGTATTTTTTTCATTTGTTCGTCTACAGCTGTCTCAGATGATGGTGGTGGTGACTGCTTTGACGTCACACCTTGAGGTGGAGAATGCCTTTCAGAGACCCTTGACAGCTGACTCTCTCCTTAAAGTCCATATAAAATGCATAATGAATAATATACAACTACAAAGAAGACAATCTTCATGACTTTGTAATGACTTCCTGACAATGAAATTAATTCTGATTGTGAACCTGGTTTGAGGTAGAGTAGTGAACTCTACTTCCTAAGGTATTGGATGATTGGGACTACCTCCTGACCATCCAACAAACAGAATAGAATTCACTGATTTACTGAAATTAAGCCATGTATTTCTTTTACTATACTCATAAATGCTAAAAAGCAAACCATCTGTCTACATTAGCAATTTCAATCTGTGAGTGTAAAAATACGGAGTTCACATAGGCATGGGTCTGGTAGTCAATTTTGGGTAGGACTTTTCTTCTCCAGAAAAGTGTAAATTTGGCACACAAAGGAAAGTACTAGGAAATACAGCATCCCTTACTGGGTTGAACTGACCAATAAAATGTTATTACCTAATTAATATTTATAGATATCATACATAAGTTAATATCATTGAATATTTGTTAATATCATTTAATGATGTCATTACGAATGATCGTTTTTAACTACAAAAACACTTAAAATTGTATTTAGAAGTCTGTAAAATAATATAAAATGTTATATCAGCTAAGAAAGAAAGATTCAAACAATAAAGTGATATGAAATTAAGTTTAAAGCAAGAAATATCAATCATTTTCAGTATATTACATTTGAACTGTGCATGCTTGTTCAGGCATACTGTACAGTAAATCTCTCTTTTTGATCATGAGGGAACACTTTTCGCATGGATTCACCTTATTTATAAAAAGAATAACAACACTCATTTTGGCCATTATATGGTGATGTTTTCATTTAGAAATCACTTCAAATGAATACTTCACAGTGAGAACAGGAAACTTTAGCTCTGTTTAGTATTATTCTGTTCCAGAAAACAGTAAAATCCAAGTCATTTTTTGTGTTTAGTTGGCAAGAATTGTACTTTGTAGCATAGGCCTAGGCCTACTCTCACCACACTGACGTGCTGAAATTTGAACTCTCTGAATTACAAATTTTCTCATTTGCAAACTCTGTTCGGACAGAGGGGTATGTAATTGGGAGATGTTACGTACTTATATAAATAAACAGCATTATACTGCAACACATTAATATCAACATTTGGATCAATAATAATTTACAAAATACAATACATTTTTAATTCTTACCAATTGGAGAAAATCCTCTTCCATAGGACTTTGGTTCAAAATCGCCTTTACCACTTGGCATTCTGGGTTCTGAAACTATAACAAATATGGCAATCAATTCGAAGGTTACAACAAAAATTTAAAGGAATACACAAGCAATTTAAACATATTATTTTGCTCACCTCCATTTGATTCTTCTTTTCCTGTTAATTGTTGTCCTAATGCAGCTAACATGAACCCTCTTCCTTTAGGACGGGAAGGCACTGGGCCTACCCTACTGCTATCACCATTACTATGGAATTTTACAGGCTCTGGCCTTGGGCTACTACTGGCACCGGGGCGACGTGGTTCATCCAGGAGCTTGAGCAAGGCAGCTCCTCGACCCCCACGTCCAAACCCTGACATTCCAACTTAAGCAGATATCTATTCTAGAGTTAATCAGTTACTGGCATATAAAATCAAACAAGACTAGCACCTGAAAAAAAAAAAAAAAAAAAGAGACAGTAATTAATTATTTTTGGCATATAAAATCAAACAAGACTAGCACCTGAAAAAAAAAAAAAAAAAAGAGACAGTAATTAATTATTTTTGGTATAGATAAAATACAACCTTAATAGCTCATTTGGGAATTAATATTTCTAAGGTCTCGCGCACAAAATGAGTTGCATCAAAAATTGAGTTTATATCACATTTGAGCCAGATGTGAGCATTTCAAATTTTGGTGTACTGTACGAGAACCACGTTTTTAGAAAATTGGCTTAAAAAATAAACTAAAATGTCCAAATAATAGGGCTAGAATTAGAAAATGTGTGCAGAGAACACTGTTTTAGTAATAATTCACTTATAAAGTACACAATCATAAAATAAAAGTATCAAGAAGTTATTCAAAAACACTAAAATTAAAATTTTGTAAAAATTTTGACTTTGGCCTAATGTGGTAAATATCTCGATATGATTTCACCAACGATGCATCTTCTTTTGTGGTGAGACCACTCATTTCATCTGGAAAAAAATACAAAGTTACCATTGAGCCCTCACTGATTATACAAGTACAATTCCAGCCAGTAACTTTTACCCTTAACACTGAGCATGCACCACACTGGCTATAGTTTGTAATTATGATCCAGTGTGTCTGGTTTCTGGGCCCAAAATGAAATGCCATCTTTCCATGAACCCTTGAAAATTTAATGAATAAGCTCATTTGATTGATAACATGGAAGCATACGGTAATGTTAGTTACAATTGTTGCATACTGTATGTATGGATGCAGCCTTTACAATGAAATTGGGCAATTTCATAGTGCAAAGTGATTTTTTGTAATTTTTTATACTTATCAAATCCCATCAAGTTTGGTATCAAACTAAAGCTCATTTTATATAGAATTAAGATCTGAAATCAATATTTTGGTATTTCAATGGTAAAATGTGAAAAAAATGATCCAAATACATAGTACTTTTAAATTTTAAAATATAGTAAAAAATAGCTTACTTAAATACAATTATTATGCAGAATGTATATGTTGGAAAATTCTAAATTCATGTTATTTTACAAAAGAATAGGTACTATTATCATTTTGAAAGGTGAAAATTATAATTTTTAAATAATAAATTATTTTTTTTGTTTTTTAAAAAATTTGGTTAATTTATGTGATTCTGCTACCAAAAAAGTGATTTTTTTTTTAATTTCTCCAAAAGTATTGATTTTTCAAAAATGAAAGTACAGGTGATAATAGACTACCAATAGATATATCAGAAAATAATAGGCTTTAAATAAATTTTTTTTATATTTTTAGAAATAAAGGTTTAAAAAACGTGATTCCGCTACCAAATGTAGTATCGGAATGACGTGTATTTCCGCTACCAAAATATGCTACCCACGAAGATTGCAACAAAATTCAACTTCTTTTCCAAGTATCAAATGGATTAACAAATTTCAATGGTTAAATGATACAAATAAACAATAATTGAAGCTTGGATCAACTTTGTTGTTCAAATGCAAGTTTAGGTATGGGAAAAGGGCGAGGTGTATTTTTCTCATAAACTTCCAATAAACTTTGCTTCAAAGAGGTACTTGTTAATCAAATAAATTTACTTATAATAAACAACGTATTTAAATTTGTATGGTTGGTTTTTACTTCACCTACTAATTTTAAGTGCTTGCTATTGGCTCACAAACCAGTGACGAATGTATTCTTATGCAAAAAGAATACTGCATCACTTGTTATTTTTTTGTCATTGAGATCGCACGAGTACCAAAATGCCATTAACTGCTGCAGAGAACTGATGCTTTGTGAGGTTTTAATGCTTCAATATACAAACAGATTGACCATTAACATCTGTAATTTTGTGGAAATTCACATGCTGCTTTTGGGTGTTGTTAATATACTTAAGAATCACCAGTAAATTATAGCAATATTCCAATGTCATTCCGCTACTGTCATTCCGCCAC